AACTTCCGTGTGTCCTTTACGCGGTACAGATTTTCCATCGCCTCGCGATCTCGGTCTTCCTGCTGACGCTTCTTCCTTCGGAAAACCGAGTTTTGTCTGTTCCGCGCTTGTCTGTATCGCTCCACATTCAATCTCGTGCGGTGTTGCAGCATTCTCGCCCGTGCTGCATTCTTCTCCTCTACTAACAGTTTGCATTTGCCGTCAAACCAGTAATTTCTTCGGTCCGGGATTGCAGTACCTAGTGCCGCTGCAGCAGTACTACCTATGGCTGAACGGATGTCCCTCCAGCCATCTTCAAGAGAAGCTGCGCCAAGCTGCTCTTCCGTGGGTAGTGCAACTTCCAGCTTGTTGACAACCCCGCAATATTCAAATACAAAAAATCGAATTGATTCACATTCCTGGAACTTGGCTGCTATTTATTGAAACGCAAGCTGCTTTTCTTCTGATCAAAAAGTCTTCTATAGAGCAAACATTCCGAGCTAAATGCAGCATGGTTGACGTCCAAGTTCATTTTACGTTCTTAATTCAGATTTAAACAATTAACACATTTCAATACCGTTGACGTACACTCCAACGTTTTGTGTTGTTGGCTGCACCTAGAGCATCTCTCATGATTTCCTTGCTCTTGTGCCCAAATTCTCCACATTTGAAGCATCCCAACTCATTAATCGCGGTAACTATCGAGCCCCGATCAAACCCTAAATTTACTTTTTTCGCACATAACAAACATTTATACGTATCGACATCAACTTTAATTATTACACTAAACTTATTGTAAGTGAAGTGTGGATTTTCAAACATGTTCACTACCTTTACATCATTTATAGCGATGTCTTCCTTTGGCTTTTTAAGTAGTCAATGATGACATTGGAGGAAAACTGATCGCTCATGCCCACTATTTTCAATCTTGGCACCGAAGTGGGAACAACAGCACTATATTTTTCACCCAGATTGCTTTCAATACCAGTTTTTACATCATTTAGATTGGCTCCTGTTGCACACTCAACAATAATAGAGCCATCTTTACCATTCCTAAAATTACTGATTTTGTGTGTTTTTGGATCCAACTGAGTTTTCAAAAACTTACGAGTATTTTCGCAAGCTTGTTTGGACTCTTCTTGCACATTCGGTTGCCGTCAATGGATGGCAATCGATGTCCGTCGGTGATTGGCACTAGATTGCGGAACAGAGACCGACGTTAAATAAAGGAATGAAGATATTGTCCAATTGCTCACAAATAAATTTTTCAATACCATTTACATTTCGGCAAACGTCTACCATCCCGCTCTTTAACGCGATGTCTATCTGAGTAGCAATATAATCTCGCATGCCAGTGATCGAGTCCGAGAGTTGAAATACATTCTTCATCTCTTCCTGTATCCTTTTGACGCGTGAGATCAGATCATTCTGCTCGTCGCAACTCTGATCTGATAGACAACTATCACACTTGAACAGAACATTTGCATTGTCCGTGATAAGCTTTGACTGAGTTCGCGTAAGTGTAGTGCATTTGCAATGAAATACACGAGCACAATTACCCACACAGATAACCAGCAAATCACTTATCAAAATCCCCAAATTACATATTGCACACTCTGCCAAATCTATCCACCCATACACATAAACTTTACATGCAACACTCAGAGACACAAGTAAAAACGAACGAAAGCAGAAATTTCAATGCCCCAGCTTACTAAAGGGTGCCATCCAATAGCATGCCGGGCGAAGGAAAAAACGCAAATTAAACAAGATCCAGCTGCAGCAGCAACCGTTCTCCTACTTATCCACTAAATGATCACTATGGGGCACGCGTAGGATCAATTCGACCGTGGCACAAGCACAATTTCACACTTAATTTATCGAATATTTATCACAGTACTGCGAAATAAACTATAGCGTTCGCCAATTGTGTAACATTTTCTTTCTTTTTTGAATATCACAGGTTCACGCCTGATGGTTATGCTCTCCACACTACAATCCAGGGAGCGCATTATTCCCCGCTGGGGGGGTGCATTTCGACCGTTTTGTGCATTTTACCCCCCTCCCCTTCCACCCCCCGATCAGAACGGAATAACACAATGATAACACAATTACGGTAGAAAACTTCTTCGGCCTAATCGCCCATTTTGGGCCTATCAGTAAAGTGGTCTGTGTAAAGTTTTTTTTTTATTAAAAAGTCAGCTATATTTACTATCAAAACATAAAATATGTATTAATTATTACAAAATATTAGTTTATCCCCTATTTTCTGTTTCTAAGTGACGATCATTAGATACATCTGCGTATAAATAATAAGAAATAATAAGATTTTCGAATGATTGTCCAAGATTGTTTAATTCAAAAACGGCTTATATCGCGAATTTCTTTAGCAATGACCGCCGTCTCTTATTCAGCTATCTCTTTGAAGTATTTAAAAAAAAATCTGGTTTGCTGCTCTATGGAAAAAGTAACAGAAAAGTCATTTTTAATTGATCCACAGTTTTCCATAGTGGTTCAGGTTGTGGAGCAGCTTCATATCTTAAAATAAAATAGGTTGTTAGTGTGCTGTCATTATTGAAAAAGAAGACTACATACCCATACTGACAATTCAAACAAAAATAAACCCTTTCGGAGCTGGGAAAGCATTAGTAAAAGTGGTAAAGCTTTCGGGAAAAGTTTTGCCTAGGATGGAAACATTCAACATTCTCATAAAGTCTTCCAAACCTCCTTGGCTAAGCTTGTGCCTTATGTAAAAATTCAGTGCCATAAACATTGTCTTTGACACGAATGTTGCCATGAAATTTTGACGATTGATCGTATTTACTCGAAAGCTCCTGAAAAAAGATAGGTTGTTCTCAGTCTTATCTACCTTGAATAAATAAGATAATAAATACCGATCCGGAACATCGTTCATCGTTTCCTTCGAAGAATTCTGCATGCATAAAGTCATCCGGTTTTTATGATTCGGCATCGGAAAACTCTACCGACGGCGATGATTTATCCGAAATAGATTGGCTGCCTACTGCTTCTGAACCAGATGAGGGATGAAATTCCATCACCATAGGAATCTTATAAATTGATGGAAGATCCTCTATCCATGTGGAAAACCACGAACGACGCAACCAAGCATCGGGCTCAACTGCCACATAACACAATTAAACGCGTTCCACTTGAGCCGGAAAAAGTGAAATATACCTATGCGAGGTAATCTTCATTCATTCAGAATAACTAAAACAACACCATCACCATCCCTCTCCAAAGGGGGAGTTTGGTAAAGAGAGATGAAAAAACCGATTTGTACCTTCCTTAAAAAGTTGTTCTAGCTCGCTATTCTAATATCTATATCTTCACACTGCCGTACTCTAACGGAACTATCAACTCTATGCTTTCATCTACTCCATCTATCGTATAAAAATTACCACTACAGTCTGTTATTTGAAATAAGCATCTTCAACTATGTAAATCGTTGACTTCACGTAGAAGTAATACTAAAACATATAGTCAAAAGTAAAACAACAAATTTTTCTCTCAGATCGGTTGTTGAAACTCCGCACTTATCGGAGAGACAAACCAGCTGCTGCAAAATCTTTGGCTGATGAAGCATCACACATTATGAAGCGAATTCTGGCATATTGTGGAAAAAGAAGCCAGGAAAATGACTCTTAATTAATTAAAATGACCTACAGTTGATGAAGTCTTGAAAAAATAAACTTTATTTGTAATTAATTATTTGACTTCGATTCGAAAAATGTGAAAAAGAAATGGCATAAAACCATTGCCAAAAATATGGCAATTTTTATATCTAACTAGCTGAGTGTGCCCGGTCTTGCTCGGGATTCAATATTAGCTTGAGTTTATGCGCCGATTTAAAAAAAAAGCATGCTATATTGTACCCCCCCCCCCCTATTATCTAAGGGGATACCCCCTATGATTATCTCCTTATACCCCCACACTCGCCTCCACATGCCTAATTTGGTTCCATTTGCTTGATTAGTTCTCGAGTTATGCAGAAATTTCTGTTTAATTTGTATGGGAGCCCCCCCTTACAGAAGGGGGAGGAGTCTCGAACCATCATAAGAACCTTCCACGGCCCCAAAAACCCCTGTATACAAATTTTCACGCCAATCGGTTCAGTAGTTTCCGAGTCTATAAGGGTCAGACAGACAGACAGACAGACAGAAATTCATTTTTATATAGGGTAGATGTACCAGTTATGGCTATACGTTCCTATTATGGTGTGTTCCAATTATGGCCTATGGAATTCCATAGGCCATAACTGGAACACACCATAATAGGAACGTATGGTCATTACTGGTACACCTACCCTATATAGATTTAATTTATAATAACGGTTGTTATATGTGTATTTTTGAACGCGATAAATGATATCTAATTTTGTAATAATTTTGATATAATCATATCACCGTCTGCTATAATTTTGTTCCACTAGACGAATTTTTGTTATATTTTATGTTATTTTAACAACTGACCAGCCATTGTTTATTACACGTTCTGTTACAAATTTTTGTTGAAATAAATAACTCCAGTTGTTATAATTGTGTTATGCCCTTCTGATTGGGCCTACGGATTTCGGTCCCGCTCGGAATTAGTGTCTGTGATTCTACTTTTTTAATATTCTTCGCATTGATTTTTGAGCGTTTTTATCATGCAGCTATTCCGCCATAGGCACGGATATTTTCCCATTCCGAGATTCACCTTCACCGCCAAGTGCTCAGACAATCTCTTCCCGCACCACTATGATCAAGCTGTCATTCATCCCCGATGAACAGCACTACAATCTCATCCTCCCTCAGAGACCTTCCGAAAAGTCTCAGTCCCAGGTGTAGGAGTAGAGTGGTTTTAATTTTATTATTTATATCTATATTATGCAACTGTATTTCCCTTTGCGCTGCTTCGCATTCTCACCGATAGGCGCTTTGCGACGAATACAGAAGCATGCAATTTTCACTTTCAGAGGTCCAATTTTAGATAACCGAATCCATTCACTCCAACTCCCTCAGCGCTGTCAGTCAATGCTCGGGCGAAATGGGCCATCGCACTACGATTTGGTTTCCAATCCAGCAGATCCAACAGCCCCTGCCGGAGATCGCTTGTTCTCCTGGTGCCACACCGCGGTGTTGTAGGCTAATGTTTTAATTATTGCAATTATTACCATCTTTTTCCGCTTCTTTATTTAAAAAGGTCTGGCGGCTTCGGCACGACCTCTGGTGGTATAGCACGCTGTCATTTGGTGTTGACCTCAGCATAGACCCACAGAAGAGCTCTCGGATTATGCAAGTGTGCCTTTTTATTTGCAGATGCGCGAGAAATGCAAGAAAGTCGCCGTCGTCGTTAACGCCGTTGTTGTTTTCACCCCGGTTGGTTTTTGTAATGGGTCTGGGCGGGTCTGTGATGGTAGGTGCAGAATAAATGGCTGCACGCAAATGGGTCGCTCAGGAAAGTAAAAACGTGGGGAGGGTTTCGATGAATACAAACTGCATCACTTGAGTTTTGCTAGGCGCGATCTACTGAATCGTTAAATCTGTGAGAACAGTTCAATAACTCGTCAATTATTAGAAAAGGAATCACTTTATGGGGTGGCTTTCTCAGTCTTTTAGTAGAAACGATTATTTTTTACGTTCCCGACGTTCCGACCGTTTGGTTGTGGTCTTTCTCCCCTTGAGAAAGACCACAACCAAACGGTCGAAACGTCGGGAACGTAAAAAATAATCGTTTCTACTAAAAGACTGAGAAAGCCACCCCATAATCAAAGTTAATAGAGTTTTTGGCCTTTTTTTTGCAACCATATATATTCTTTTTATAATCGTACAGCTATCGGACACGGTAATTTTTTTTTCAAACACATCTAGGTTTCGCACGACGTTTGCTTGTTAAAACGAATAATCGCACCAAATTCATAGTGTTATTGAATATTAGCGAAGACAACTGTAACCGTTTAGTTACAATGTCCTAGGTTTTAATTTGTGCATGTTGTTTTAGGAAACTGTAGTGTTTGTTTAGTGTCAGTGTTGGGTTAGTAGGATTAGTAGGATTGTAGGTAAAATTGCTGCTATTGAAAAATGTATAAATTTGTCTTAGTAGGTAGTTTGAAAATGATATTTGTTTATAAGCTTAATTGGATGTGACAGGATCGAAAGGGTGTTATAATCAACTGTGGTAGAAAAACTCAATAGGCGAAGGAGATGATATGGATGGGTGGTGATAAGCTACAAGGAAGGAAAATGGAGGAAATAATAAGGAACGAATTGAAAACTGGATGGGAAAAGGAGGGCTTTCGATAGCTGGGATGGTCAACCATTGCCCAGAAGTAAACCGGCGTTTGTGCCTAGAAGACGTGAGTGGAGTGCAAAAGTGAACCAAAGTGCAGAGAACGAACTTTTTATGTTCCTGGTGTTCATTCAGGTAACTGAATTCGACCAAAAATGATTTTGGCTTGGTTTAAAACAACCATTTGTCCTTTAGGACCTTTTGTTTGGTATTCCACGGAGATCCTCACGATCGGCAATTTTCGACCAAGTCAGTCTCGACTGTCTTGGTCTAAATGTCAAGGACCTTCAACTCTCCGGCTTAATAATTGCTAGAAAGGAGAGCATCCTCGGCCTTGGTAGTCCTAACTGTTAAGGAGGAAGACCCTTCTCGGCTCGACCAAGGTGGCCTTGTCACGGTCAGCTGATGTTCGCCAACGAAGGGAGACGCCGTGGACACCGAAAAGGCTACTTCAGTAGCTGCACAGGGATTGCTTTATTCCCTGGTTGCGAACCGCCATCACAACGCGCAAACCCAAGCATCAAACCCGCCATTGTAGTGACCACAGCTCCAGTCACCAGGCGCCATCTTCCAGACCAGCTTAAGACACCGATCCGCCATTGTCCTGTGACACAGTTCAGGGGTCTCATGCTACTGAGCTAGATATCCGGGAGTCTTGGTTGAGCCACATAGGGTGAGTCTCATCTAGTCTCACAACATATCAAGAAGACTGGCAACTCTTCCATTTTCTCACACGAACGCTATGAGACAGGTACAATCGCGTCATCTACCGCTCAAAGGTCAATGCTTCGAACGAATTTGATAGCAAAGATTACATCCTCAGAAGAAAGGTTTGTGTATTTGCTAATTTTTCTATGCGTTGCTTCCACCTTCACTCAAGCGCAGCGCTACCTGTATGTGTCACTTGGATTCTGGCAAAGTTGCCACTCTTTTTGATATGTATCTTCGATATTAGACTCTCGGTGAACGCGGTGATTAAATATCCCAATAGAATTATTTATGCTTGAATATTTTAGGTTCTATTATCGTCGTGTTTTACTGCAAATCACTTAATCGTTCATTTGACGTAAGTTGTATTATGATAGAAATAAATTGATTTTTAATTTCATTTAAATTCTAACATGCATAAACTTTGTCAGAGTAATGAGCTACCCATTTTAATTTGGGAGGTATCATTATTAGATCATTAATGTTCCTTATTCGCCTCTATCGATATTGGTTTGTTTATAAAACGGAGTGTGTTAATTGTACTTGAAGCTGTGCAATAAAGGAGAAGTTATTGAGTTCTAATTTGCACACATTTCTGACACAATAAGTTGCAGCAACTTGTTTATGACTGATATAAGTTGTATAGAAGTTGCCACAACCGATTAGTGACAAGGGTGCTACTAGGGTAGTGAAGATAGCTGATTAGAAAGTGGGAAAGTTTAGGGAAATAGAAGAGACCTGTGTGATAGTTCATCGGGGTGTGTTAAAAGTATTTGAGTATTTTTTTTAGGCCGCGATAGTCACACATGCATGCCGACCCTGATGCAGTGTAGAGGGGGGTCTCATTAGTACTGGGCAGGGAGTACCCCACCTGTTACAATTTACCCTATATAGGTAATATTTTGTATATTTAAATTCAATGCAGCCCAGCCCGTGTAAATCACCTATGCCAAAAACTACGGCTGATAAATATGCAATTGATGGGGGCCAGACATAATGAAAAATGGACGAAACATATGGTTACGTTTGATTGATTTTCAATTTTATTTTTTACTGTCCCTCCCATCGACAGGTTCGAAAATTGTGTGTCAAAAGTAAAAATATTAATTGTTTCGGCCTAATTGCTTATCAATTGATCAACTTAAATAACAAATCTTCGCACTTGTAGCGTAATTCATGCAACAGGCCAGGCCAGGCAAGTTTTGTAAATTCTCTTTCGGAAACTTTCGTTGATAAAGAGTTGAGTCATAAATAGATCAATACGATCATAACAGTAAGCTTGATGGATCTTGAATGATGTGGGTTTGGAGGACTACTGGAATAAAACCAGTTCGGCCTTCAAGTCCGAGTATGAACAATAGGAACAAGGGAAAACAACCACCTTAAGCCCAAAGTTCTGTAAATCTGTCCCAATATGAACCGCTATCTTCTAAGACTAGGAGTTGGTTGAGGCAATATTAATTGATAAAAGATTAAATTCGTCGAGAAGATTTGTGTTTCATAATGCCAATGATTGAATCCGTTGGAAGATCGAAGATTATTTCTGGTTTCATAATATGATGTTATACACACTGGAGTCGGTTTAACGCGGTTTTTGTACATGGTTTTCCCACAAAAAATACTCTAAGGAAGCCTTAACGTGAAACTTTAATGGCACAAATGTCAGCTTCCACAAAACATACAAATTTGAAATTGCTACTCCTTGTTTGCTGTGCTACTACAAACAGAGAGTAGCAATTTCAAATTTGTATGTTTTGTGGACGCTACCATTTGAGCCTTTGAAGTTTCACGCTAAGGCTTCCTTAGAGTATCACCTTAACGACCTTATTCCAATCACATTATCCATTTTGGGCCAAAAGTAGTCAAATGGCGTACTTAAATAATTCTCAATTGTTGGCATGTGAAATTATCAATCTCGGTTGGTTGGCTTATGGCTAACAGTACTAGTTCTAAATAGACAAACATCACAAATTTCCATGAATTCATATAATGTGCAATCCCCATGGGTTCCCTTCGCCGTACTAATCATCACTCAACTTCTTACATATGCATAGAAGTCATGCAATGAATTAAAAGGTCATAAACTATTGAAAACGTATAATTTAAATTGGAATTAGATTGTACTCATCTCGCGTATGGATTCCGCCGAAGATCATCGCATTCACGACCGGTACGGTCTTCCTACTCACCATGATATGCATGCACCCAGGTGAGCGTTTTATTGCTTGCCTCTTTTGTAGAGCACACATATGAATCGCACGCCATAACCATCACCGGATTTTCGTGGCGTTCACCTCCCAGATTGGGCAATGAACATTTTCACGGTTGAACGACTGATTGCACCTGGAGATGAGCCAGCATGTTCAGAAGCTATGCCTGCATCTTGTGCTATTCTTGCTTGTCAGTTGCAGTAAGTACATTGTACCATCTGCCAATAATGGACAGTGTTTGCGGTCAACCGATTGTTTATGGTTTGATTGTGTCGAATCGTCGCCGTTGTCGTCGTCACCTCCTAGCATCGTGAACTCCAATCAAACCGCTTTGTCAATGCTAAGGAGCAGCAATTCATTTTCTGTGAGCCATTCTCTTAGTGACAGGGTAGTAGCTAGCAGATGTACAAAAATATGTGACATCGTAAATGATGATGATGATGATGATTATTGCACATACGACAACGCCATCGACAGCAGTTGACTGGTCTCCCGCGCAATCGAATTCAAATTTAATTTTCGATCCGAACGCTCGTTTAAGATAAAGGTTGACTCGGCGCTCGGTTATTTTTTTACTGGTCCCCCCCCCCCCCCCCGCTTCACATTCGCATGGAGGCACTTCTATTTTCCGTCAATAATCACCTCTGCATTTGAATGAGCTGCTCGAAACATTGAGGATGCTTGGGCGAGCGGATAATTATCATTCACAAAAGAGGCTGCTGTATATTGAAAAGGAGGACATTGCAACAGACACAATCATATGAACGATTTGCATTTTTTTTTGTGGGTGATTCAATTAGGTCGTTGAAGATTTTTTACATGGTTTTTTTTAATATATGTATGTGTTCATGTTTGTAAGATTATCATTTCATTAGCCTTTTTTTTACACCTTTGTAGATTAATGTTTGTTCCATATAGAATTGAGACGACGCTGATTG